CATCATCAGCATTATCATCAGCAGCATCAGAATCGTCATCATCATCATCATCAGCAGAAGCATCACCATCAGTATCATCATGGTCATCATCATCATCGTCATCATCATCAGTTTCCTCATCATCATCAATATCAGCATCGTCATCAGCAGCATGAGCAGTATCATCGGCAGGAGCAATACCATCAACAGCATCATCATAATCATGACCATCATCAACTGCAGAATCATCAATATCATCAAAATCATCATCATCACCACCACAAGCACCATCATCATCATCATCATCATCAGCATCATCATCATCAGCATCAACAACATCATCAGCAGCATCATCAATATTAGCATCGTCATCATGATATCATCGTTCTCACTTATACATCATCGTCGTCGGCGGCGGCATCGCCATCGTGGACATCATAATCGGCATCATGGACATCGAGATCAGAATCAGAATCGTCAGCATCATGATCCGCAGAAACACCATCATCAGCATCAACATCAGCATCATCATCGTCCTCGACATCATCATCAGCATCATCAGCAGCAGTACCGGCAGCAGGATCATCATCATAACCAGCATCATCATCAGTATCATCATCAGCATCATCATCATCAGTATCAGTATCAGTATCATCATCATCATCATCATCATCATCAGCATCATCAGCATCGTCATCATCATCGTCATCATAATCATCATCACCACGACCACCATCATTATCAGCATCATCACCATCAGCATCATCAGCATTATCATCGTCATCTTCATCGTCATCGTCGTCATCGTCATCGTCGTCGTCGTCGGCAGTGGCGGTGGCGGCGTTGTCGGCGTCGTCTTCGTCGCCGTCGTCGGCAGCGGCGTCGTCGGCGTCGTCGTCGTCGCCGTCTTCGCCGTCGTCTTCGTCGTCGTCGACTGCAGCAGCGGCATCCTTCCCTCCACCCCTCGCAGGCTGCAGCCCGGCGGGGGGGGCCCGGCTCCGCCCCCGCGACGCCGACACGCCAGCGGTGCGAGCTCAGCGCTGCAGCGAGAGAGAGGGTGACGACGACGACGCCGCCGCCGCCGCCGCCGCCGACGACGACGACGACGACGACGACGACGACGACGACGACGACGGCCGCGACGGCGACGAGGACGGCGACAGCGACGGCTACGACGACGGCGACAGCGACGACGGCGGCGACGACGACTGGGCTGCCAGCGGGAGAGTGGGCGCAGAGGGAGCGGCTTTTGTCGACGGGCATGCCTCCGAGCCGCCAGGCGCTCTTAGCCCGGGCCGAGGACTTCGGCGGGCCAGGCGTCGGGGCAGTTGGGCGCCCTGTGCTCGTCGGTGCCCCCTCGGATCAAGATGTTGGCGAGCAGACGGAGAAAAAGGCATTTCTGGGGGGCGTCTTGGCAAGCACGTCGTGCGGGGAGGGGGAAGGGCGGGAAAGGCTCGTCACCGATCCCAGGGCGGGGAGGGAGAAGAGGGAGGAGAACGCCCTCTGGTCCAGGGGCGGGAAGGGCGGGGAGGGAGAACGCCCTGGCGCAGGATCCCGTCGGGGAAGCAAGCAGGCGGGGGGGGGCTGAGAGAGCAGGCGGGGGTCGAGAGCTCTTGGGCTCATTCATGGGCACGGGACGAGGAGAGGGAGACGGAGGGGCCCAAGGCTGGGAGGCACCGGGCAGAGGAGGTGCCAGAGCAGAGGAGAAAGTGAGCAGCAGCAGCAGCAGCAGCAGCAGCTGTACCGTCACGACAAGAACCAAAGGTAGAAGAGCCTTTGAGCGCCAAGGCACCTCATGTGCCTCCTTCGGGCAGGAGAAGGTAATCCTGGGGATAGGGGCGGGGATGATGCAAACGAAAAAGAGGCTGGAGCGTTAAAAAGTCGCAGCGCGCCTGGGTCCTTGAGACAAACCATTGCGTGCACACTAAACTCGACGGGAACATCTCGAGGCCAATCAACCACAGCGCCCTCAACAAAGTCACCTCGAGGGGGATGGTCAGACCGTCTATGTGTTCCACTCGAGAAACATCGCAGCCTTCCTCATCGAGGCGATGTTGCATAGGGGCTAGCGCCGACAGGGCTAAACATGAGCCCACTGACAAACCTACACGTCAGAATGGCAATTCACACGGCGACGGCGCATGCCTGCACAGATCACTGCGGGGCTTATGGCCCGGCTCTAAGGCTCGGTAGGCCAGGGCGCCCTCGAGGCCCATTTATGTGCACATGCAAAGACGCATCAGGCATCCCCCCTCCCCAACCTTCCCACTTTCCGGTGCAGTTGAGCAGCCTCCTGACCCAAAGGATGGGGAGGAGGAGGAGGGCGACGACGACGACAAGGAGGAGGGATGATGATGATGATGATGATGAGGAGGAGGAGGAGGAGGAGGATCAGGAGGAGGAGGAGGAGAGGGGAGGGACGACGGGGGAGAAGGAGGAGGAGGTGGACCAATTGAAACATAAGACACATCAATGAGGTTGCAATAAACCTTCCCTCTAAACTCCCTCTTCACGGGGCCATGCAAGAACTTATGTTCATTGCCTGGAATGCCCCGTTTGAAGACAACCGTTTGAGAATCCTTAATCGCGCCAGAACACCATTCCTGGGACTTCAGCGTCGCGAATCAACATGACCCTTTTGCTCTGAGATTCCTAGCTAGCGCTGGAACACCATTCCTGGGACTTCAACATGGCGAATCAAAGTGACGGTTGCGTCCTGACAGTCACAAATGGCGCAAGAACGCAAGTCCTGGGACTTCGACCATGCGAACACTTGATATGTTTGCAAACCTTCAAAACGAGTGTCCGCGGGGCTAAGGTGAGAGTTCTACATTTGAAAGAAGAGCCGCTTTACATCCTTGAATATGCTGCAAACGTGTAAGACAAATGTGCGCGGCGCAAGGACGGGGGCAGAAGTTTGAAGGCCGCCCACCCTCCATCCGTCCATGAAACTGCTGCACAGTTGTCAGACGAATGTGCGCGGCGTTATGGCGAGAGCTACATGAAGCTGCTGAAAGCGTTCAAGACGGATGTGCGCGGCGCTGAGGCGAAAGCCACATTTCGAAAACGCCCCGCCCTCCATCCGCGAAGCTGTTGCAAGTTTCAAGCTTCAAGCTGCAAATAGAGAAGAAGTCTCAAGCGAAACGCCCTGCACGCCCTACCGACACGTCTGGGGGTGCGGCAGAGGAGGAGTGGCTCATCAGAAGAAAGAATCGAGAAGAAGGAGGAGGGAGGCAAGGCGGGAGGAGGATTAAGAGGGGGGAGGAGGAAGAGGAGGAGGAGGAGGAGGAGGAGGAGGAGGAGGAGGAGGAGGAGGAGGAAGGGGGGAGGAGGAGGAGAAGTGAGGAAGGGAGAAAAGGGAAGGAGGAGCGATGCCCAAACGACCCCCTGCAACTGCAGTGGAGCAACCTTCCTCGCACCTCGTTGGTCCACACGCTGGCTGGGCAGCCCGTCCCGAAGAGTGGGGCTCAGACGGACATGGCAGCGTTGTGGAACTGCGAGAAAGGTCCAGCAGATGGTACAGAGTTGGGAGCGCAGACTTCGAGCACCACGCGAAGGCACAGTGTCGTGCAGCTTACTATGTTCCTCCTCATCTTTCTTGTGTTTCTCCCCCCCCCCTCATGCTCCTCCCCCCCTCCAAGAGTGCTGAGGGGGTAACATATTTGCGGGGATCGCGGCGCGCGTACCACAAAGCCGCAACCCCCGACCCTCGTAAACAATCCTGACCTCGTCGCAGCAGCTTCGGCTGCGGCTATGATACAGACGCGTGCGCAGCGCGTCACGCTCCAGTCTAGCCCTATCGTAGTGTACACTACCCCGCGGGTTGCCACGGTGCCGACGAAGACTTTCGCGCGAGTGGGCGGCCTCGCGCGGCCAGCACCTCATGGAGGCACCGAGAGGCACGACCCGTGCCAGCCTCAACTGGGGAGCTGTGCAGCGACGATCGAGCAACGCAGGAAAGGGTCAGAGAGCGATCTGCTAACCGGCCACAGTGCGCGGGGCCCCCGACGGCGCACGAAGAACGCCTGAGCCAAAGCCGCAGTCGGTGGGCACCCCAGAGAAAGGGACACCCGGGAGGCTGCCAGAGGCCCCATCGAAGCCCACGGAAGGGCGCACAGTGGGAAGACAAAAAGGTAAAGATGCCGCTGCTCCAAAGACCTCTCCCACGTTCTGATCGAGATTTCGAGGCGCATCTGGCCGGGGCGGCGACGAAAGAGCAGCGATGTCAACATCTTCTCACTGCCCTGACCCAGATCCCCGACATCAAGATTTGTTCACAACACCGACCCCATGTCTCGACACATTGCCGCGGACTGGCTGTTCATCCTGGGTCGGTGTTCGAAGGTCCCGGGGCCCGGTGAAGGCCCCAGGAGGAAAACCGCCCGGCTACATTTCGCTCACAACTCGAAGAAGTTCTGGGAAAACAGACGTCGCACACCTCGCACTTTGTGGCCTCAGCCGTTCAGGGGCGAAACGCGGGTTCTTTGAACAAGCCCCGAAACGCAAATTGAGTAGGGACCGGCCGTCATGGCATTCCTATAGGACTACCACCAAACATTATTCGAACGAAACAATGTTGTAAGAACCATCGCGTTGCGCTTGGAACATAAAAAATACGATTAAAAACAAAAAGGTATCAACCAGAAGCGTTCTAAGAACTGCTCGGGCACACCACAATACGTTCCTGGGAAATTCGTTGGTGGGCCCATGGGGAAGCAAGGACGCCCCGCGACTGCTTTGCATTTTGTTTGTGGCCGCGGCCGCTCACGGGGAGGCTGGTAACACTACGTAAGGGCTGGAATCGTTGAGAACAAGGCGATTCGAGAACCTCCCGCGCCCCAACCACAAACAAAAATACCTTCTTCAAGCCCGGTGCGGCCCGACGACAGAAAGATAGCCGGAAGCCCAGAGCGTGCACACACCATCGGGCCGGGCCCACATATGTGTTCCCAGCCTCCTCGTAGGGGCCACGCGCGTCTTCGTTGACCTTGCCCCGAAGCGTGAAGCGCACGGATCCTCGTTCAAACTCGCGAGCACACCCTCCCGCAGCCGCGGCTGGCCCGACGCCTAGATGAAGGGCAGCCCCCGGGCGGACCCGTTGGGCTTCGGCCCGCCAAGTCGGCCGCGCCGCGCCCCCGCGGGGGGTCACCGCTGGGCCGCCAGCGCCGCGTCGGCCCTGGCCGCGGGCGGCGCCGTGCAGGGCGCGCTCCTGCGCGGTCACGGCACCCACGGCACCCAGCCTCCCTGCTGTCCTCCCTCGTCTTCCGCCGCCTCTTCCTCCTCCTCCTCCTCCTCCTCCTCCTCCTCCTCCTCCCCCTCCTCCTCCTTCCCCTCCCCTTCCTCCATCCCCCTCCTTTCCCTCCTCCTCCCCTCCTCTCTCTCCTCCTCCTCCTCTCGTCCTCCTCCTCCTCCTCCTCCTCCTCTCCCCCTCCTCGTCCTCCTCCTCCTCCTTCTCATCCTCCTCTTATTCTCTTTCCTCCTCCTCCTCCTCCTCCTCCTCCTCCTCCGCCTCCTCCTCCACGACCAGTCCACGGCGAGCAGTCCAGCTGCGCGCCACACGACGCTCACGCCAACGCCGACAAGGAGCGGGCGGGTGGCGCCTCCGCGCCGCTCCAGGGAGCGAGCTGCCACTGACGCCACCGCAAGTGCGGGTGACGCTTCAACCATACTCGGGAGCGGCCAAGAGGGGGGTGTCCAAGAGGGGGGGGTGCAAATCATGACCGGCGGCATGTGCGCGGCCCAGCGGGGGGGCCAGGGACGTAATGAAATAAGAAGAGGCGCCATGAAATCTGGGCAAATATCATGGCCCCCGCCATGATATCCACCCCCCCCTAGTCATCACCCCCCTCTTTTCCGCCCCCGACGTACAAACACCAAACAACTTCTGATGGCGGGCCGGTGCCCGCACAGATGAGCCACACCGTCTTGAGAGCGAGAGGCTCGACGAGCGGCCACCATGTCTTGTTCGTATGATACCTGGAGGGCTCGCGACCAAGAGTGGACAACACGCGAACGCCTCGGGATCCACCAGAAGCAAGCGGGACAACGCAAGCCGCCGACAGGTCAGCAGGCACCTTTACCCCTGCCCCCCACCCCCGCACACAGTACACACCACGCACCACACACGCCAGCCCCCCCCCCAACTTGCAACGGGTGAACCACGTGTTGCCCCCTGCAAGCGAGGCGCACACGATTGCACGCCAGATCGGCTCGAGAGAAGGCTCTGGGGAACGCAAGCGGGGGCGGCACAAAGCGTTGCGGCGTCAAATGAGGCTCCGTGTGGCTACTACGCTTGGCCTTGCCGCGCTGCGGGGCGTACACGCGCTCGCGGCCAAGGCACACACGCGAGGCCCAGCGCGGGCAACCCACAGCGTCAAGGAGCTGAGGACACCCGCCTTGGCCTCCCGCGCACCACGCGTGGTCTCAAGAAGTCGTGCCCGTTGCGCCATCCATGGGTCGCAGTCGTCGACATGAGCACCCCATTCTAACTCGAAGCGACTATAGAAAGGCCGAGCTGGATGCGAACCTCAGAACGATAACCTCCCACGTTGCGAAGGTCAATCTGCTCGACACCCCCATCATCGATGGGACTCTACACCTGGATCCAAAGATTCGCCCAGGCAGGTCGAGCTGAGCAGCACAAACGCGTGCCTCGACGATGGACACCAGCATACACAAAGCTAGAGTCAGTGTACAGATAGAGACAAGCCCTGAACGTTACAAGGCGTGCGCAGAGAAGAACGAATATGCGCCATACATGTCCCCGACAAACATGCGACAGCGCCCCACACATGACCGACTCCGTAGTAGAAGGATAGTCGGACTGCGCTGCAACGATGGCCCATGCAACTGCTTGCGCATGCTGAGGATAATGCTGGTTCATACAGATCCCGTCTAGAAAGATATGTCCAGCCATGACGGTGGGACCTCCTCAAAACCAGCGTTCGGGAAGAGGGGTGCAGGCAAGCAACACAGCAGCAGGCACCAGCAGCATCTCGGCTAAGAGAGGGAGAGGACTGCAGCGGGACCTCACAAAGGACTCAAGAAAGCCAGGAGGAACCGCCTCGGGCAGTAGTTCCTCGTGTCCTCCTCAACTGGCGCTCCTGTGCAAGAGAGTGCCTGGGGACTCGAGGCGCCGCTGACAGAAGGCATCCAGAGTGAGCGTGCTCCTCCGGTTCCTCTTGCTCCCCCTCCTGCTCCTGCTCCTCCTCCTCCTCCTCCTCCTCCCCATCCTCCTCATCCTCCTTCCGCTGCCCCTCCACCACACACCTTCTCCTCCTCCCCATCCTCCTCATCCCCCTCATCATACTCCGTCTCCCCCTCCTCGTCCTCCTCATCCTCCTCCTCCCCCTCCTCCTCGTGCTCGGCGTCCTTGTGCTCCTCGCCTTTCCCCGCGTACAGCTTCGATCCCAACCCGAACACTGGCTCTCTCGCCCACTCGCCCACTCACCCTCCTCGATCACCCGCCCGTCAGCAGCACCATCACCCTCAGAACCCTCACCACCCCAATCCTCAGCCTCCGCCTCCTCCCTCCTCTCATTCCTTATGCCCCTCTTCCTCCTGCAGAGTTGCGTTTCGTCCTCGTCCTCATCCTCATCCTCATACTTCTCATCCTCATCCTCATCTTCATTTATGTTGCTCCCATCGTACGTAAGGGCCCCATCCCAGAAATAAGTTCGAACAAAAGAGTGTCGAAAGAGTGTCGAAACAGTGTCGGGCGAGTGTCTCCCAGGGCCCGTCACGTGAAAACCCTCGAGTTTGGGTACCTTTTGTTTCTGGTGCTCGAATCTGTTTCTGGTGATCAAAGCTAAAGTAGGCTGGGAGATCAGAAATCTTCATCTGCACTTCCCGACAACTCCCCGCATGGGCGGCGCGTCCCCGGGGGCACGAAGGGCCCATCCGAGGACGATGGCAGCCCCGACACCCACCCAGCAAGCTTCGCAGTCCTTCCCCCCTCCTCCTCCTTCTCCTCCCTCCTCCTCCTCCTCCTCTCCTCCTCCTCCCCTCCTCCTCCTCCTCCTCCTCCTCCTCCTCCTTCTCCTCCTCCTCCTCCTCCTCTCCTCCTCCTCCTCGTTGTCTCCTCCTCCTCCCTCCTCCTCTCCTCCCTCCTCCTCCTCCTCCCTCCTCCTTCCCCTCCCTCCCCATCCCCCTCCTATCCCCTCCCTCCTCCCCCCCCCTCTCCTCCTCCTCCTCCTCTCCTCCTCCTCCTCCTCCTCCTCCTCTCCTCCTCCTCCTCCTCCTCCTCCTCTCCTCCTCCTCCCTCCTCCTCCCTCCTCCTCCTCCTCCTCCTCCTCCTCATCATCATCATCATCATCATCATCATCATCATCATCATCATCATCATCATCATCATCATCATCATCATCATCATCATCATCATCATCATCATCATCATCATCATCATCATCATCATAAGCATCATCATCATCATCATCATCAGCAGCATCAGCATCAGCATCAGCATCATCATCATCAGCATCATCATCATCGTCAGCATCATGATGAGTCGTCAGAATCAACATCATCACCATCACCACCATCCACAACCACAACAGCAACAGCAACAAGGATGTTTAAGGCTGCTCGCTCTTACCTGCCCGCGTGCCGCTAAAATCGTACATCCCAAACCCGCGATACCCGCCCTCTTCGTCTCAGATCGTACCCCCTTGGGGGAATACTTTTCCCTACCTGCCGCGTGTAAGTGGCGCAGCCCCTCAAACAGGGGAAGGCAGGGGAGGGAAGGGACGACAAGGGGGAGAGGGAGAAGGATGAAGCACGAGAGAGATTTGCAGGAGATGGGTTAGGAGCAGGAGTACAAGCGGCAGGACCAGACGGGCGGGTCGGGCGGGCGGACCCCACACGTAACGGGCAGGTCAGGCGGGCGGGCCCGGACGGCCAGCCCTCGCGCCAGACGGCCTTTGGCTCGTCGAACTGTTGCGATCTCCTCTGAGGGATGGGCCGCCGGCCACCGGAGCCAAAGTTGACAGGAAGGATGCGGGACGCATGGATGCCCACGACGAGGCTTTTCGAGCGGGGCTGGCCATCAAGAGCGGTTCAGGACGGGCCGAAGAGGCAAGGATGCAGAGGCACCCTTCGGAAAACGACCCGTCCTCACGATGGATCTCTTGGCGGCGCGCACAAGGGGGTGGGAGGGAGGGGGGAGGGCTTCTGAGAGGGAGGCTGCTTCTCAGAAGGCGCCGGCCTTACATCTACAGAGAAGGCCCCCGCCTGCTAAGAAGCAGGGGTGTTTCTAAGAAGCCCTCCCCCGTCTCCCCACCCGCCTCCCGGCCATCGCTCGGACGTCCATTTCCTGTGCTTCTTTCGGTTGCGTGCGTAGTTTTTTCTCCAAATGATCAAGGATGCTCCTCGATGGTCCTCGCCGAAGGAAAAATGCACACGTCCGAGCGATGCCAAGCCTCTGCGCGTGGCCGAATGTCGCCGGCAGACGGCTTCCGCCACGGCTGCATCACGACACGAGGGGCTGGGGCCATCCGGGAGGCAGGGGCGCAAAGCGTGGCCGGCGGCAGGTGCGCGGCCCGGGGAGGGGCCGGGGACGCATCGGAATCAGAGAAGGCGCCACGAGATCTGGGGAGGTCTCGTGGCCCCCGCCGTGACATCCGCCCCCCATAGTCGGGACGCGCAGAGACATACTAGTACTGAAAGTCCTCCTTGGAGGCGCGCGTCCGACCCGAACATATAGTATACCCATCTTGTAGTGTATCGTTTCCCGAGCGGTGTGGCCAGAAAAAGCGCACGCCACGACGCTTAGACTAGAAGACTTCTCGGTGCGCGCGCCGCCCCTGGGGGGGCGACGCACACCTAGTATTAGCATGTTGGGGGGACGCCCCAAGACGGCCCAAGAGGCCTCCAAGAGGCCTCCAAGACGGCCCAAGAGGCCTCCAAGAGGTCCTCCTGGAAGGCCCGCAGAGGCCAAAATCATTGATTTTCCTATAGGTTCTTGAAGGATATGGGCATCTGCTTCTTCTCGGCACTCCGACGGCCCCAGACGGCCCAAGAGACCCCCGAGATCGCCCCAAGATCGCCCAAGAGGCCTCCAGGAGGGCCTCTTCAAGGCAGTGTTTAATACATGGGATGATTAAAAAAATATGGTCTTTTATATACATGACTAATGTATGAATAAACTTATGCATGAACTCATCGTGGTTTTTCATACTACATCCCTGCATTTTTAATACGTCGCCCCCCTCTCGGCATTCCGACGGCATTTGCTTGCTTCTCGGCATTCCTCCGGCCCAGACGGCCCAAGAGACCCCCAAGATCGCCCCAGGATCGCCCAGGAGGCCTCCAAGAGCGCCTCTTGGCAACTCCCGAAGGGGGGACGCCCACTACAAGGCAATGTTTAATACATGAGATGTTTAACAATATTGGATTTCTTATACCTGATTAATGTATGAATAAACTTATGCATGAACGCATCGCTGCTTTTAATACTAAGTCCCTGCATGTTAAATACATCGCCCCCCCTGGCCATCGCTCGGACGTCCATTCCCTGTGTTTTTTCCGGTTTCGTGCGTGACTTTTTCGCCAAATGATCAAGGATGCTCCTCGATGGTCCTCGCCCAAGGAAAAATGCGCACGTCCGAGCGATGCCAAGCCCCTCCTGGCAGCCTCCGAAGGGGGGCATAGGGAAGGCAGGCGGCTCCGCGGCGCGTGCGGCGGGCCGCGGCACACCGCCGCGACCGGGCTGGGGGGCGCGCGCCCGAGCGCGGCGGCGGCGCCTGGCGGGCGGGGAGGGGCGGGCGCCGCCGGGCGGGGGGAGAGAAGCGGGGCGCGGGCCAAAAGGACGCGGCCGCGGGGCGCGGCCGGCGAGCGGGCGGCGGGGCGGAGGGGCGGAGGGGGAGGGGGGGGGGGCTCGGGGAGGGGGAGGGGGGGGGAGGGAGAGGGGGGCAGGAAGGGAGAGGGGAGGAGGAGGAGGAGGAGGAGGAGGAGGAGGAGGAGGAGGAGGAGGAGGAGGAGGAGGAGGAGGGAGAGGGGGAGGGGGGGGCAGCGGCGATGAGGCAGATCGGGGAGGGGCGGGGAGGATGCGCGCGGGAAGGCGGGTGGGGCATGGGACAGTCGCGAGAGGGAGGGGGCGCGCGGGAAGACGGTTGGGGATGGGGACGGGGAGGGGAACGACCCCCTCGGCCCCGCGAAAAGATGACGAGGACACTCCTGCGAATGCGACTGCGCACAAGGCGAACACACACGCCCCTTTCAGTGCGGCGCTGGCGGTGCTCAATGCACGCCTGCCACGCTTTGCGTGGCCAAAACGGGTAGCGACCGCACCCCCAACGCACCCCCTGTGGCGTCGAGAAAGTGCCACGCCTGCCACACGTTGCGAGCCCGAAACGGATAGCGACCGCACCCCCAGCGCACCCCTTGTGGTGTCCAGAAAGTGCCACGCCTGCTAGGCTCTGCGACAGCGTCGTGGATAGCGGCCGCGCTGAGAGACCACCCCCTGCGCACCCCCTATAATGTCCAGAAAGTGCCACGCCTGCTAGGCTTTGCGACAGTGTCGTGGATAGCGGCCGCGCTGAGAGACCACCCCCTGCGCACCCCCTATGGTGTCCAGAAAGTGCCACGCCTGCTAGGCTCTGCGACATTGTCGTGGATAGCGGCCGCGCTGAGAGACCACCCCCTGCGCACCCCCTAAGGCCTATGGTGTCCAGAAAGAGCCACGCCTGCCGGCCGCGGAGAGGGAACACCCCCTGCCAACCCCCTGTGGCGTAAAGCAAATGCCACGCCCGCTATGCCCTGGACGACCGGCGCGCATAGCGGCCGCGGTGAGGGACCATCCCCTGCGCACCCCATCTGGCGTCGAGAAAGCGCCACGCTTGCTATGCCCTGGACGACCGTCGTGCATAGCGGCCGCGGTGAGGGACCACCCCCTGAGCAGCCTCTATGGTGTCGAGTGCTATGCCCTGGACGACCGTCGTGCATAGCGGCCGCGGTGAGGGACCACCCCCTGCGCACCCCCTATGGTGTCGAGAAAATGCCACGCGTGCTATGCCCTGGCGGCCACCGTGAGGGACCACCCGCTGCGCACCCCCTATGGTGTCGAGAAAATGCCACGCCTGCTATGCCCTGGACGACCGGCGCGCATAGCGGCCACCGTGAGGGACCACCCCCTGCGCATCCCTTATGGTGTACAGAAAATGCCACGCCTGCTATGCACTGGACGACCGTCGTGCATAGCGGCCGCGCTGAGGGACCACCCCCTGCGCACCCCCAATGGTATCAAGAAAATGCCACGCCTGCTATGCCCTGGACGACCGTCGTGCATAGCGGCCGCTGTGAGGGACCACCCCCTGCGCACCCTCTATAATGTCCAGAAAGTGCCACGCCTGCTAGGCACTGGACGACCGGCGCGCATAACGGCCACCGTGAGGGACCACACCCTGAGCATCCCCTATGGTGTACAGAAAATGCCACGCCTGCTATGCACTGGACGACCGTCGTGCATAGCGGCCGCGCTGAGGGACCACCCCCTGCGCACCCCCAATGTTGTCGAGAAAATGCCACGCCTGCCTTGCCCTGGACGACCGTCGTGCACAGCGGCCGCGGTGAGGGACCACCCGCTGCGCACCCCCTAAGGTGTCGAGAAAATGCCACGCCTGCCACGCTCTCCGACCCTGGCACGCATAGAGGCCGCGTTGAGAGACCACCCCTTGCGCACCCCCTATGGTGTCGAGAAACTGCCGCGCCTGCCACGTGCCCCTCTATGTGGGGCCTGCCACGCTCTCCGACGTGTGGTATGTGGTGCGACGCGGTCACGCCTGCCATGCCCTGCGCGCTAGCCCTGCGTGCTCTGCTGTGCTGAGCTGTGCTGTGCTGTGCTGTGCCGAGCTGAGCTGTGCTGTGCTGTGCTGTGCTGAGCTGAGCTGAGCTGTGCTGTGCTGTGCTGTGCTGTGCTGAGCTGAGCTGAGCTGTGCTGAGCTGTGCTGAGCAGTTCTGTGCGGTGCTGTGCTGTGCTATGCTGCGCTGTGCTGCGCTGTGTGAGAAGGGGAGGAGGGAGGAGGAGGTGAAGGTGAACGCGGGTGCGGCGCGCCAGGGAAGAAAACCAGGACCCCACGAAGCATGTGGGGAAAAACAGCCACACTTTGTTGCACCGATTCGGGGTCACGAAGGAGGAGGAGCAAGAGGAAGAGCAAGAGGAGGAGGAGGAGGAGGAGAAGGAAGAGGAAGAAGAGGGAAATCATTGGCCCGGGAGGCCATCGCCCGACTACCTGCGAGCATGGCGCCAACCTGTCTCAGCTCTTCGAGGACCAAGTCTACCTGCTTCTAGAAGACCAACACCGGGGGCCTATGCCAAGCACAGTTCTCACTTTCTGGCCACAAGCGTCGGTACACTTTGGATGCCGTAACGTGTACAGACACATTCGGGCGAATACGTCTAAAGACAACGCGGTCGTTGCGTTCGGCGCAGTACAAGGTCGGAGGAAAGGTTGCTCCGTTCACGGCATCCGCATGCTCTAGAGCAGATCACACATGGTACTCCAACTCACATGCTAAACGCACCAGCTCAGGTTGTAGCAGACCCTCTGCTTGAAAGTGTTGTCTCAGCGACCAGCGGGCGGCAGTCTTAGCCATTCGTGAAGCCTGTGCCCTGCGGCTATGCCTCGAATGCGTCGGACAAGACGGGGGCCGAATGCTTTGCAGGTCACCACACCTGGCCCAGAAGTAATACGCTTGCTGAAATCGGAGACCTGCTCCCCGTGAATTTGCCAAGGTCCACGACCCGTATAACTGGCTTCGCCAACGCCACCCACGAAGACATCCAAAAACACCGACGCGAATGAAATACTATGCCGTGTGACCAGTGCGGGTGTACACCCCTGCTTACATGTAGAAGAAGAATATTACGCTACGAAAATGGCCTTCACTCCAAACGTTGTCTTAACCTGCAGTCCCAATCCAGAGATACGACATGTATACGAAAACTGAAACTCCAGAGAAAATCCCAAGGCGCAGTCCAGATTCTTGATTCTCTTAAACGGAATCTGGAGTCCATGAATCGTCGCAAGGGTGATGATGGGTGTAGGATGATAAGCCGTTGTCGTCATCTCGAAACTGCATCCTTCTTAACACCTTCGGCAAGGTGGAAGTTGAACCTCCCAGTGCTGTGAAAGGCCTCTGCCACAAAACGTGTGCTCGTTCTTGGAATCGCCGACCGCCGCATATTCCATGCAAATGGATCCACTGAGCAACTGATATGTACGCTTCTTGGAAATGGCATCGCGATTGCAAGAGTTCTGATGCATGCACCCGATACCATGCGTAATACCCAACGACACCATCATCGCATCAAGATCAGCATCATCAGCATCATTGGTATCGTTGCCGTCGTCGTCAGAGTATAATCATCAGCGTCATCAGCAGCATCATCATCATCAGCAACAGAAGCACCATCGTCAGCAACCGTATCACAATTACGCTACCGAGGAACCCCACATACTTAACTTAAATTTTGAGTGTTTGCTTAAGTTTATAATATATGTGCAATTCTGCCCTCTCAGCCCTCGTCGCGAATGTTCCCCTATGTGTCATCCAACGCCATATTGCTTGAACCTCCTCCCTCTTCCTAGCCTTCTATCCTCCGTCGAGGACAGATTCGAGCCAGCCAGCGGCCGCGGTGAGGGACCACCCCCTGAGCAGCCTCTATGGTGTCGAGAAAATGCCGCGCCTGCTATGCCCTGGACGACCGTCGTGCATAGCAGCCGCGGTGAGGGACCACCCCCTGCGCAGCCTCTATGGTGTCGAGAAAGTGCCACGCCTGCTATGCCCTGGACGACCGTCGTGCATAGCGGCCGCGCTGAGGGACCACCCTCTGCGCACCTCCTGTGGTGTCGAGAAAGTGCCACTCCTGCCACGATCTGCGAGCGTGTCACGGATAGAGGCCGCGCTGAGGGACCACCCTCTGCGCACCCCCTGTGGTGTCGAGAAAGTGCCACTCCTGCCAAGATCTGCGAGCGTGTCACGGATAGAGGCCGCGCTGAGGGACCACCCTCTGCGCACCCCCTGTGGTGTCGAGCAAGTGCCACTCATGCCACGATCTGCGAGCGTGTCACGGATACAGGCCGCGCTGAGGGACCACCACCCTCTGCGCACCCCCTGTGGTGTCGAGAAAGTGCCACTCCTGCCACGATCTGCGAGCGTGTCACGGATAGAGGCCGCGCTGAGGGACCACCCTCTGCGCACCCCCTGTGGCGTCGAGAAAGTGCCACTCCTGCCACGATCTGCGAGCGTGTCACGGATAGAGGCCGCGCTGAGGGACCACCCTCTGCGCACCCCCTGTGGCGTCGAGAAAGTGCCACTCCTGCCACGATCTGCGAGCGTGTCACGGATAGAGGCCGCGCTGAGGGACCACCCTCTGCGCACCCCCTGTGGTGTCGAGAAAGTGCCACTCCTGCCACGATCTGCGAGCGTGTCACGGATAGAGGCCGCGCTGAGGGACCACCCTCTGCGCACCCCCTGTGGTGTCGAGACAGTGCCACTCCTGCCACGATCTGCGAGCGTGTCACGGATAGAGGCCGCGCTGAGGGACCACCCTCTGCGCACCCCCTGTGGTGTCGAGAAAGTGCCACTCCTGCCACGATCTGCGAGCGTGTCACGGATAGAGGCGAGGCCGCGCTGAGGGACCACCCTCTGCACCCCCTGTGGTGTCACGATCTGCGAGCGTGTCACGGATAGAGGCCGCGCTGAGGGACCACCCTCTGCGCACCCCCTGTGGTGTCGAGAAAGTGCCACTCCTGCCACGATCTGCGAGCGTGTCACGGATAGAGGCCGCGCTGAGGGACCACCCTCTGCGCACCCCCTGTGGTGTCGAGAAAGTGCCACTCCTGCCACGATCTGCGAGCGTGTCACGGATAGAGGCCGCGCTGAGGGACCACCCTCTGCGCACCCCCTGCGGCTTCGAGAAAGTGCCACTCCTGCCACGATCTGCGAGCGTGTCACGGATAGAGGCAGCGCTGAGGGACCACCCTCTGCGCACCCCCTGTGGTGTCGAGAAAGTGCCACGCCTGCCACGATCTGCGAGCGTGTCACGGATAGAGGCCGCGCTGAGGGACCACCCTCTGCGCACCCCCACCCCCTGTGGCGTCGAAGGAATGCCCTGTGTGGTATGCTGTGCTGTGCTGTGCTGTGCTGTGCTGCTGTGCGGTGAGCTGTGCTGTGCCGTGCCGTGCCGTGCCGTGCTGTGCTGTGCTGTGCGAGAAGGAGAAGGGGAGGGGGGAGGTGTGAGACGCGGGTGCGGCGCGGCACGGAAGAAAACCAGAACCCCACGAAACATGTGGGGAATAACCATCATCAGAATCAGTAGCATCATCATGAGCATCAGCATCAGCATCAGCAGCATCATCAGCATCAGCAGCATAATCAGCATCCTCATCATCGTCATCATTTGCATAATCAGCATGAACATCGTCATCAGCATCACCATCATCATCCGCATCACCATCAGCCGCTGCACCAACCCAGGCCTCCTCCTTATCATCGCCACCGTCCTCACCATCATCTCCATCAGCATCATCACCACCATCACCATCACATCACCGCCATCATCACCACCATCCTCAGCATCAGCATCGTCGTCACCATCATCAGCAACATCGAAATCATCAGTAGCAGCTGCAGCAAGCTCAGCAACCTCACCATCGCAAGCAGCAGCAGTCGCAACATCATCAGCAGTAGAAGAATGATCAGCATCAGCAGCCGCAGCAGCATCATCATTGCGGTCAGCAGCATCATCATCGGCAGCAGCATCGTCATCGTCATCGGCATCATCATCAGCAGCAGCAGCAGCATCCTCGTCGACCCCTCATCATCATCATCACCATCATCATCATCATCATCATCATCATCATCATCATCATCATCAGCATCATCATCAGCACCACCCTGGCCGCAGCGTCTCGACGGGCGGGCAGCAGCGGGGGCCGAGCTGCTGCGCGAGCCGCGGCTCGAAAACTTGGCCCGCGGCTCCACGGAGGCCAGCGTCGGTCCGCCTTCGCCCTCGGGGTCGTGCGGGCCCGCGAGGGCTCGTGCGCAACGGCGGGCTGCCTGCCGCGCCTCCGGCTGGCCTTAAGCAGCAAGCGGCGTAGCCGGCAGACTGCCCGTATGGCTGGCGGTCCTGGCGGCCGTCAACTCCTCGGGCGTCTTGGGCCCGTCCATCCTCACCCGCCCCGCTGTCGGCCTCGAGGGGCCTTCAGCGTCTGTCCTCGGGTCCCGAGGGTCCTGGGCGGGGGGAACACGTGAATTCAGCAAGGCGTCGACGAGCCCCGCTCCGTGACCTGTAGCACAGTACCTAATCGTCATCATCATCATCATCACCATCATCATCAGCAGCAATCAGCATCAGCATCAGCATCATCAGCATCATCATCATCAGCATCAGCTTCATCTTCAGCAGCAGCACCAAGAGCAGCAGAAGCAGTCTCATCATCAGCAGCATCATCATCACCACCATCACCAGCAGTATCATCATCCGCATGATCATCATCATCATCATCGTCATCATCATCGTCATCATCATCGTCAACATGATCAGACTGATAAGTATCAGCAGCATCCTCGTCATCGTCATCATCATTGTCGTCGTCCTCCTCATCATGAGCACCATCATCACCATCACCATCATCACCATCATCACCATCATCATCATCATCATCAGCATCATCATCATCATCATCATCATGAGCAGCAGCAGCACAGGTAGCAACAGCATCGTCATCAGCATCATGATCAGCGTCAGCATGAGCATAAGCATCAACAGCAGCTAAATCACAAGCATAAACCACGTCAGAATCATCATCATAAGCATCATCAGCACAAGCATCATCATCACAATCATCAGCGTAAGCATTATCATCAGCAGCAGCAGCATCAACGTCATCATCACCATCATCATCAGCATCATCGTCATCGTCACTGTGATCATCATCAGCAGCAGCATCATCAGCATGATCAGCATCAGCAGCAGGCTATCAGCATCACTGTCATCACAATACTCATCATCAACATGATCAGCACCATCATAGCATCATCATGTACAACAGAAGCATCATATTCGTGAGCATCATCATCATCAGCATCATTGCCATCATCATGAATACCAACAGTATCAGCATCAGCATCGGCATCAGCATCTTCACCATCATCTGCACCATCACCATCATTATCGTTATCAGCATCATCATGATAATCATCATCAGCAGCATCATCAGCATCAGCATCAGCAGCATCATCAGTCTCAGCATCACCATCATCATCATCATCAGCATCATCATCATCATCATCATCATAATCATCATCATCGTCCACATCATCAGCATCATCATCCGCAACCGCATCATCAGCATCGCCATAATCAGCATAAGCATAATCAGCATAAGCATAATCAACATCACCATCAGCATCATCATCATCATCATCGTCATCGTCATCGTCATCGTCATCGTCATCATCATCATCATCGTCATCGTCATCATCGCAATCATCGCAACCACCATCATCATCATCATCATCAGCATCATCATCATCAGCATCATCATCATCATCATCACCATCATCACCATCATCACCAGCACCAGCACCAGCACCAGCACCAGCACTATCACCATCACCATCACCACCACCATCATCTAGCGCCCGCCCGTCCTACTCCTCCTCCTCGCTCCTCGTCTCCACCGGCGCCACCCCCCTCCTCCATGAGGAAAATAAAATGTAGGATACCGCTACTGCCGGGACCTCTCCCGGGCTGCGGTCTGACTGACTAGAATCTCGAAGCGAATCCCGCGGTGGCGACGAAGGCCTCCCAGGAGGCCCCCAAGAGGGCGAAAACGAGGGAAGGGGAGCAGCATCGGCAACTTCTCCTCCTCTGGCCTCCCTCCTCCTCGCACCCAGGGCCCGAGGAGCGCGGCTTGGAGCAGGAGGAAAGCCGAGGAGGAGGAGGATGAGGAGGTTGAGAACGCTTCGTGCTAGTTCATGAAGTCCGAGCAACGTCAAAAAGGAGGAGGAGGCGCCAGGAGGAAAGCCGAGGAGGCACTGCCTGGACCAGGAGGCAGGTGCGCCAGGTTGCGCTGGATGAAGCGCAGCGCCGCCGCGGCGGCCGGCGACCTCAGGTCGAGAGTGGGTCCCATGCCAGAGCACCCCCCCCAGCTGTCACTCGCCCTGCCAGCCTCGCGCCTCCGCCGCCGCCACCTCTATCCTGCATCGGTCCTCTCCTCGTCTGCGCCACGAAAAGATGTATGCATATGTGTATATATATATATATATATATCAACATACATTTATATATATATGTAGATATATACATGTATATATATATATATGTACGCAGGCGCCCTCCGACGAGCTCCGGAGGCTGGCGGTGTATGCAGTCGCGGGCCCTCAGTGGTGATGTATACAGCGCCACCCTCCCCCGAGGCGCAGAAGCCCAGGAACAATCGATTGAAGGATGCCTGTGTATATATTTGTGTGGCGGATCATCCTAATCCTCCTCCTCGCCCCTCCACGACTATGCGCTCCTGCATTATCCATCCTCCATACTTTCGGCTTTTTGTTGGGTCGACCGGACACGAGCTATGCAGCTGCTCGCTCCTCCCTGAAAAACAAACCTCACAAAGCGTGAGATAGAGTCAGAGAAGCAGTACGTCGCCTTGGCGCATACTAAACAGCGCAGGGGGTGCGAAGAGAAATAGATGGAGAAGCCCGTGAGGGCATAGGCATAGGACAGGTTACACCTGCAGGTGTCGGCAAGATGTTCCTTTCGACTCCTCACCCTCCTCCACGCCGTCCTCCTCCTCCTCCTCACATCCCCCCTCCTCTTCCCGCACGCCCCCCTGGTCTGATCGCGGCGCTGCGGGCGATCTGCCGAGCGGTTCGGGGAGGAGCCTGCTGCGCGCACAGGCGGAGGGGCCAGCGCTCAGGCCGGCGGCGCGACAGCGGCGAGCGGGAGCAGCTCCAGGGCGTTTCGCTCGGCGCTGCGGACGGGCCAAGAGTTCGGTGGACCCAAAAGGGGGTCCAGCTGAAAGGAGGTGGTGCAGTAGACTTGGGACAATTGCATTGCAAACGTACTGCGCCGGAGAACTGTACTGCATTGTGTTGCAACGAATGCATTGCACGCGACAACCCAGCAGTACATCTGCGCACCAGAGTGTGCTGCACACCCCAAAATATACTGCAACCCCACAAATCGATTGCAACAGAAGAAGTATCGATACCGCTGCTCCCCTGACCTCTCCCGGGGTGCGTTCTGACCAGGATTTCGAGGCGAATCCAGCGGTGGCGACGAGGGCCTCGCAGGAGGCGCAGAAAGGGGAAAAAAGAGGGAAGGGTAGAGGCATGGGTACCTTTTCCTCATCTGAAAATCTATTGCACCACCCCCTTTTCGCTGGGCCGCCTTCAAGATGTTCACACGGTTGTCTCCCAACGAGCAATTCGCTATGGAAATGACCCCTTGCATGGGGCCTATGGCCAATGAAGAGGGTTCTTGGAGGCAGGGTGTACTTCAACATCGTTGATGAGTCTTGGGTTTACACTGGTCCTCCTTCTCCTGCTCCTCCTCCTCCTCCTCGCCCTCCTCCTCCTCCTCCTCGCCCTCCTCCTCCTCCTGGACCAACCGGATGGGGCCCAACGCCCCTCCGCGCGTGCCTCCTCCCCTGCCCCCTCGGGAGGGGGGCCAGCAGCGGGAGGCCGCGCACCTCGACGCGCCGTCGAGGCCCACGCTGCCAGCGCTGCAGCGGCCGCGCGCTCGCCGAAGACCACGGATAGGGGGCCACTTGCGAACCCTACCCCTACCCCCCACGATTTTTTGAGGGGGAGGGTGGGGTTCACTTTGTCTAGGAGCTCCCGAGCGAAGTGAACCCCACCCATCCCCCTAGGAAATCGTGGTGGGTAGGGGTAGGGTTCGCATGTTGTCCCCTAACGGAGGCTGCGCAGGCGCGGCATTCGAGGCCGATCGCCATCGAGCGGCGGGCCGAAGGCGTGTGCAGGAGGCGTTCTATTAGCGCCACGGAGTCCGCGGATACGGTCCGGGCTGTGGACGTGGGGGCGGTGGCCGATCTGCCCGGAGATGACGGCGGCCTTCAAGCATGAGGTGGTATGCGTCGCGGCGGTGGTGCCGATCTTCACCAAGGCGGCGCCGGATGTCCAGACGGACGGGCGCTTCGCGAAGGGGGACACCGGCCTTCAACAAGATGGAGCCGTGCTCCCAAGTGCACGTGCCACCTTCAAGGAGGTGGTACGGTAGTGGTACGGTGCCGCCCCTCGCGGCGCCATGGGCCCAAACGCGCGTGACGCTCCTCGCGGCGCATCGGGCTGATCTTCCGGATGACGTCCCAGCGGTCGAGGCGCCCGCGCTGTTAAGCGTGTGTGCTGTGCCGTCCGTCCCGCTGCCGAAAGGCCTGTGCGGACGCATCGGCCTCACGCAGGAGCGGCCCTGGGCGAGGGCGGCCTCTGGTGCGCGGTGACCAGGGAGCCGCGGGGAGACCAGACCCAGGCGCGCAGGCCGCGTGGGAGACTCTTTTCCTCAGACTCGGGCAAGGTGGCATGGCAGTTACTCCTCGCCCCCCCCCCCGCTTCGCCGCCCTTCCACACAGCGCTGGCCCGAGCAGGCGGGCAAGCGAATCCCAAATTGCATGGAGTCCAGAATTGATTTCCGCTCGTGCCTCGCGACGCCGCCCCCACCCTCCCCCTTCCATGCAAATAGATTCGCCAGAATCGAGAGAAAAACTCCCTATGGCCGCATGGAGTCCGATGCCGCCGGCGATGGAGGCGAACTCCTCGCGAGATCATGGGCGGAGCAGGAGCTGGCGGAGGTGGGGTCGGCGTGCGAGCGGTAACTACACGCCCCACCCCAGCACCGCGCGCGTCGAGAGAATGCTCCAAGCTGAGGTCTCTACTCCCTCTCCTGAAAGGTAGAACATTAGGGAGAGACAAGCGCAGGGGGTAAACATCAAGCTTGAATCGGCGTTACATCGTCGATCGATCCGATACGAAGTGATGAGACTGGCCTGGACTGCTCGGAGGGCCTGTGGAGGCCAATTGGGACTACTCGGGGGGCCGGCTCTACAATCGGCGGCGTGCCCGGGGGAGAAGTGAGAAGGAGAGGGCCTCCTCAGAAGGCGGCAGGGTTTCTCAGAGGCCCTCGCGCCTCCTGAGAAATGCTCTGCGCCTTCGGGGAAGGCTTAGAACACTAAGCAGAAGGCCGGAGGCCTTCCGCGCCTTGCGAGAAGACGGAGGCCTTCCGAAACTTGCGAGAAGGCCCGCCCCGCTTCACTTCCCCCCCGGGCGCGCCGCCGACACAAGGAACGCACAAGAGGTTAAGGAATGAAGGGGCATTTGGCCTTTCTTCAAGAGGCCCTGGGACACACACTCACACACACATATATATATATATATATATATACATATATGTATATATATAGACACACAAATCCCAGGATTCTAAATATTTCTCCACATGTTTGGGGTTCTCGTCTGCCCCCACACTTCCCATGTTTCCACATCTTTCCCTGGGGAATCGACAATGAATTCTGTCTGTGTTTTCCCCCCCCCTGACATTTGGCCAGTCTGGCCATGGCGAGCCTCGGCCACGACTCGGCTTCTCCCGACCCAGGTCGAAGGAACGGCCCGGATACCGGAGCCCCTCCTGAGCCCAAGGCGGTCCTTCTTCCAACGCCTTGGCCGCATTGCCCTGCTCTGTTTTAGACGCCCGAAATGGGTACCGAAAGAATGGGTACGATGCCCAACAACAAATGTTGTCCCAAACCAACAGCGGCCGCTGTTGGGCAGGCGGCCTTCTGTCTCGAATGGACACAGGCCGCGGCGGCGCGGACAGCGAGTCCTGTTCAAAATGAACAGGAACTGCTGTTGGGCATTGTACCAAGTCTTTCCGTGCCCATCTCGTTCGTGCAGATCTGTGCTCTGCTCCTGTCTGCCTCCTCCCGCTGCCGCTCCGGCAGCTCCTCGGCTCCTCGCACCGCGGGAGCGGCCTCTGGCCACGCCGTCCCCTTCCCGAGGGGCAGGCCCATGGGAGGGCCCTCCTGCTCAAGATGCTGCGCCTCCCTGCCTGGCTCCGCCCTCCTCAAGAGACTCGCGGCTCTCCCACCCTTCGAGGCCTCTGCTGTCTACAGCCTCTGCGTCCGCATCGCGCCCTCCTCCCCCTCCTCCTCCTCCTCCTCCTCCTCCTCCTCCTCCTCCTCCTCCTCCTCCTCCTCCTCCGCGGACTCGCAGCGCGCGCACAGGCTGGCTAGGCCGGCGGCTGCGACCGCAGCTGCCCTGGGCGGCGAGGGCCACAGCGACAGGCCAGCACAAGCAAGGCATGCGGCTTGGAAGGACACGCTGGCACGATGTGCTGACGTTGGCAGGCGCACGTCCGACGCGAACGTGTAGCACACAAGCCTTCTAGTACAGTGCGGGCGCAGCCGCCAAAAACCCTCGCAAGAAACCCAACCCTTGTAAACCCGCGCGCGAGGTGCACCTGAGGGGAAACCCGGAGCACCCTGGACGCAGCAGCTCCTTTAACGGCCGCGGGAAGTCACCGCGCAGCGCGCGGATCGAAGAAACCCAGGGTACCCTGACGGAAAGCGCATGATTTCTTGATGCGCGCCCCCACTGTAGCACACGAGTCTTCTGGTGTATCGTTTCTCGAGCGGCATGGCCAGGCAACGCTCGCCACGGAGCTCATACTAGAAGATTATCCGAGCGTGCGCGCGCCGCCCCTGCGGGGCCGACGCACGCTCAAGATTGAGATTGATACATGCTGAGGTGGTGCCGCGACGCGCCCGTGCTCACGACTTCGGATCGCAGCCTCGCGATCGCCCAACACTCTCAGCACCTGGCACGTCAGGCATCTCGGGGGTCCCTCGCGAGAGCGGCTCGCACGAGCCCCCCGCTCGGACGCGCACTGCGAACGGTTGGGAAACGGTCGGCTGTTCGCACCATCGCGCGAGCACGATCCGACAGCCAGGTCGACCACAATTCGCTACACGCTCTGGTCATGACATCGCCATGCTCATCAAGCTCGCGGCCTCGCAACAAATCATCGCATTGCGTGTAGCAGCAGACTCCTACACCGTGGCTCGTCAGACATCTAAGGAGGTCCCTCACGAGGGCGGCTCGCACGAGCGCCCCGCTCGGACGCTCACTGCGAACGGTTGAGAAACGGTTGATTATTTGACATCATCACACGAGCACATCTGGACCATCAAGTCAAATAACAACAATTTGGCATACCGCAAACATAACATTGCCGTGCGCGTGTTTCTAGACTGAGGCCCAAGCGATCAACCAGCACTCCCATCACCTGGCTCGTCAGACATCTAAGGAGGTCCCTCACGAGGGCGGCTCGCACGAGCGCCCCGCTCGGACGCTCACTGCGAACGGTTGAGAAACGGTTGACTCTTTGACATCATCACACGAGCACAACCAAACCGTCTAGTCAAAAAACACCTGTGTGGCATACCAGGAACACAACATTGCCGTGCGCATGCTTCTAGACTGAAGCCCAAGCGATCAACCAGGACCCCCATCACCTGGCTCGTCAGACATCTAAGGAGGTCCCTCACGAGGGCGGCTCGCACGAGCGCCCCGCTCGGACGCTCACTGCGAACGGTTGAGAAACGGTTGATTATTTGACATCATCACGCGAGCACAGCAGGACATTCAGGTCAAATAACAACAAGTTGCGGCATCCAATAAACACCATACTACCGTGCGAATGATTCTAGACTGAAGCACAAGCGATCAACCAGCACCCCCATCACCTGGCTCGTCAGACATCTAAGGAGGTCCCTCACGAGGGCGGCTCGCACGAGCGCCCCGCTCGGACGCTCACTGCGAACGGTTGAGAAACGGTTGATTCTTCGACATCATCACACGAGCACAACCAGACCGTCAACTCAAATAACAACAATTTGGCATACCGTAAACATAACATTACCGCGCGCGTGTTTCTAGACTGAAGCCCAAGCGATCAACCAGCACCCCCATCACCTGGCTCGTCAGACATCTAAGGAGGTCCCTCACGAGGGCGGCTCGCACGAGCGCCCCGCTCGGACGCTCACTGCGAACGGTTGAGAAACGGTTGATTCTTTGACATCATCACACGAACACAGCTGGACCATCAGGTCAAATAACAACGATTTGAAATACAGCAAACAAAACATTGCCGTGCGCATGCTTCCAGACTGAAGCCCAAGCGATCAACCAGCACCCCCATCACCCGGCTCGTCAGACATCTAAGGAGGTCCCTCACGAGGGCGGCTCGCACGAGCGCCCCGCTCGGACGCTCACTGCGAACGGTTGAGAAACGGTTAATTCTTTGACATCATCACGCGAGCACAGCAAGACCGCCAAGTCAAATGACAACAGCTTAGCATACAGTAAACATAACGTTGCCGTGCGCATGCTTCTAGACTGAAGCCCAAGCGATCAACCAGCACCCCCATCACCTGGCTCGTCAGACATCTAAGGAGGTCCCTCACGAGGGCGGCTCGCACGAGCGCCCCGCTCGGACGCTCACTGCGAACGGTTGAGAAACGGTTGCTTCTTTGACATCATCACGCGAGCACAGCTGGACCATCAGGTCAAATAACAACAAGTTGCGGCATCCAATAAACACCATACTACCGTGCGAATGATTCTAGACTGAAGCCCAAGCGATCAACCAGCACCCCCATCACCTGGCTCGTCAGACATCTAAGGAGGTCCCTCACGAGGGCGGCTCGCACGAGCGCCCCGCTCGGACGCTCACTGCGAACGGTTGAGAAACGGTTGATTCTTTGACATCAGCAGGAGCATCAGGTCAAATAACAACGATTTGGAATACAACAAACAAAACACTGCCGTGCGCATGTTTCTAGACTGAAGCCCAAGCGATCAACCAGCACCCCCATCACCTGGCTCGTCAGACATCTAAGGAGGTCCCTCACGAGGGCGGCTCGCACGAGCGCCCCGTTCGGACGCTCACTGCGAACGGTTGAGAAACGGTTGATTCGTTGACATCATCACACGAGCACAACCGGTCTGTCAACTCAAATAACAACAACTTGGCATACCGCAAACATAACATTACCGCGCGCGTGTTTCTAGACTGAAGCCCAAGCGATCAACCAGCACCCTCTCACCTGGCTCGTCAGGCATCTAAGGAGGTCCCTCACGAGGGCGGCTCGCACGAGCGCCCCGCTCGGACGCTCACTGCGAACTGTTGAGAAACGGTTGATTCTTTGACAACATCACACGAGCACAGCCGGACCGTCAAGTCAAATAACACCCTGGTGGCACACCAGGAGCACAACATTGCCGTGCGCGTGTTTCTAGACTGAAGCCCAAGCGATCAACCAGCACCCCCATCACCTGGCTCGTCAGACATCTAAGGAGGTCCCTCACAAGGGCGGCTCGCACGAGCGCCCCGTTCGGACGCTCACTGCGAACGGTTGAGAAACGGTTGATTCTTTGACATCATCACACGAGCACAACCAAACCGTCTAACCAAATATCAACACTTCGGCATACCGTAAACATAACATTATCGTGCGCATGCTTCTAGACTAAAGCCCAAGCGATCAACCAGCACCCCCATCACCTGGCTCGTCAGACATCTAAGGAGGTCCCTCACGAGGGCGGCTCGCACGAGCGCCCCGCTCGGACGCTCACTGCGAACGGTTGAGAAACGGTTGATTCCTTGACATCATCACACGAGCACAGCCGGACCATCAGGTCAAAAAACAACCCTTCGGCATACTGTAAACATAACATTGCCGTGCGCGTGTTTCTAGACTGAAGCCCAAGCGATCAACCAGCACCCCCATCACCTGGCTCGTCAGACATCTAAGGAGGTCCCTCACGAGGGCGGCTCGCACGAGCGCCCCGCTCGGACTCTCACTGCGAACGGTTGAGAAACGGTTGATTCTTTGACATCATCACACGAGCACCACCAGACCGTCAAATCAAATATCAACACTTTGGCATACCGAAAACATAACATTACCGTGCGCGTGCTTCTAGACTGAAGCCCAAGCGATCAACCAGCACCCCCATCACCTGGCTCGTGAGACATCTAAGGAGGTCCCTCAAGACGGCGGCTCGCACGAGCGCCCCGCTCGGACGCTCACTGCGAACGGTTGAGAAACGGTTGATTATTTGACATCATCACACGAGCACAGCCGGACCATCAGGTCAAACAACAACCCTTCGGCATACCGTAAACATTACATTGCCGTGCGCGTGTTTCTAGACTGAACCCCAAGCGATCAACCAGCACCCCCATCACCTGGCTCGTCAGACATCTAAGGAGGTCCCTCACGAGGGCGGCTCGCACGAGCGCCCCGCTCGGACGCTCACTGCGAACGGTTGAGAAACGGTTGATTATTTGACATCATCACACGAGCACAGCCAGACCATCAGGTCAATTAACAACAATTTGGCATACAGCAAACACAACATTGCCGTGCGCATGCTTCTAGACTGAAGCCCAAGCGATCAACCAGCACCCCCATCACCTGGCTCGTCAGACATCTAAGGAGGTCCCTCACGAGGGCGGCTCGCACGAGCGCCCCGCTCGGACTCTCACTGCGAACGGTTGAGAAACGGTTGATTCTTTGACATCATCATGCGAGCACAGCAGGACCGTCAGGTCAAATAACAACAACTCGCGGCATCCAGTAAACACCATACTACCGTGCGCATGCTTCTAGACTGAAGCCCAAGCGATCAACCAGCACCACCATCACCTGGCTCGTCAGACATCTAAGGAGGTCCCTCACGAGGGCGGCTCGCACGAGCGCCCCGCTCGGACGCTCACTGCGAACGGTTGAGAAACGGTTGATTCATTGATATCATCACACGAGCACAACAGGACCGTCTACTCAAATATCAACACAATTGGCGTACCGTAAACATAACATTGCCGTGCGCATGCTTCTAGACTGAAGCCCAAGCGATCAACCAGCACCCCCATCACCTGGCTCGTCAGACATCTAAGGAGGTCCCTCACGAGGGCGACTCGCAAGAGCGCCCCACTCGGACGCTCACTGCGAACGGTTGAGAAACGGTTGGTTATTTGACATCATCACACGAGCACAACTGGACCGTCAGGTCAAATACCAAAAATTTGGCATACAGTGAACACCACACTACCGTGCGAACGATTCTAGACTGAAGCGCATATAGCTGGGCAAAATTTATGCCTCATACATTGGACAACACTGCGGCGCCCACGTTTCTACGTTGAGGCTCAAGCAATCGAAGAGCACCCCCATCACCTGGTTCGTCAGACA